GTCATCTTCGAATTGCGCTTTTGATTTTCGTCTCGTATGTTTGCAAACAGGTTACAAAAAGGTCATTTTCAAACATAAGGGACAAAATTGGAACTTTTTTTTTTTTGCAAAACAAGGACATTTTTGTTGCGAAAATTACTTTTTTGTAGTCTTTTTGCAGACATACGAGACGAAAATCAAAATTGACGAAAAAGTTAGGGAAGTGACATATATAACTAAATTGCATTTTACTGTGTCTTGTGAAGTCCACAGGGAGTGAATTGTTCCATATCACCTTTTCTATAAACAAAATTGTCAAATAACCTATGACCCAAAAGGTTTTATAGAAAGTAGACCAAAAATCAATATCAATAAAATAATGAAAATACCTATATGTCCTTATATATATTAGTGCATAGGATAATTAAGTGCTACAAATGAAATATACTATGCCTTTTTAGCCAAAAATAATAATAATAATAATAATAATAAAAAAAATTAAAATACGCCTAAGAAAATTATATATAGATTCAGAAAAGCAAATAGTAATATGCTTATGTTCCCAATCTTTGGAATATGAGTAGAACAAACAATACTGCCCTTTGAAAAAATATTGAAAAAGTCTGAAATAATCAAGAATTAAAACTTGAAAAAACAAGTTGAAATATTGAATACTTGTTTTATTAAGTAAAATAATAGAATATAAACTTGGGATCGTCTATTGTCAGGTACCCTTCGTACCTACCTAACATTAGGTACCCTCTTTATATCACCATTAGATTGACTTAAAATCAATATGAACCATTAGATTAAGGTACGAGGTTGGTACGAGGTAACGAAAATTCTATTTTGCCTCGTACCACCCTCGCACCAACCTCGTACCTCCTTGTACTTGTAAAAAACCTATAATACCCTTATGTCATTAGAAATTACAAAAAATTATAAATTTACAATTCTATTTATCTTTAAGTCCTTACATCTAAATTATTTCTATAACAATCCTTCATATACAAAACTATTTCATCATAACCTTTAACATTTAAC